ATCAAAGCAAGCAAGTACGCAGGACGGCGGGACGATGGACGATTTTTTTTAGCTGACAAAAAAAAGGGGGGGTTTAAATTCTCTATCTCATTCTAAACACATTCAGTTCTATACTTATAGATTATGACATTATATTCACGGAAACAATAACTCTATCCTGTACTGAGCACAGGCGCTAAACATGTCATTATTGGTCGTTTCAACAGCAAAGTAATTGAAATCACCACATCAAGGTATCACCTGACCTACCAGTTGAAAATATTACTGTCCTCTTTTACATAGGTTCTGCAATACAACAATCTTTCGCATGAGGAAATGGCTCAGATCAGTAGATAGCTTGGTCTAAAGTAATCTAGCTACAATCTTCAACCAAACTCTATTGCTAAAAATACACATATAGCTAGAAACGTGTATGATAGAAATTTTTCAAAAATTCTAGATGAACATGAAACATTCGTCTTCCGAAACTAAAGAAGACAAGAAATAATAGGTATGTTTTGCATACCACACGATTTTTGTACTGATAGAGAAAAAGTATTGGAAATTTCTAGAATGTAGGATGAATACATGATTTAATGATAGCTAGTAATTAATACTTAAATGAAGTGCATGTAACTTTCGAAAAACCTTGTGAACGCTGGGAGCGTCCACTTACACGTAAGTAACCCTGCTATTATTTCCTTATAACTTTTGATAAGTATTTTATGGTGTCTACTAATGTATTACATTACAAGTAAATGAAAATGTTATGGAAATGATCCATTTTATTTACCTAATCATCATAGTGTTTTTATTATTTTTCCATTCCAGGCTAGAACATATTTAATGACTTTGAAAATGCATTTGAAAACTAACAATTCTTATCTCATTCATCTTGAGAAACTGGTACACTTCTTTTTCTCAATAATGAGAAACTGGCTGTTAAAAATTGTATGAGCTATTCTTATTTCATTCAGTTCAAAAGAACTGACTCTACCTATTCCATTGAATGTCGAAAAGCTGACTACTCCCATCAAGCTCAAAATTAGCAAACTGGAAATACTTCTAAGCTCAGCATTGAGATACTGACCTTTGAATTTCTTGTAAGCTATTCCTTCACTCCGTATAGAGAAATTGAAAACTTGTAACAACCAAATTAATATTTGTTTGTTTTGTTGGTGTGCACAAAGCTAGACAATGGGGTATCTGTGCTGTGTTTATCTCAGGTATCGAAAACCAGTTTTTTTGCGTAAAAAAAAACTCAAAACTTACCCCTGAACCACTGGGGGACTCAAATTACTAAACTGACCATTCTTATTTAAATCAATAAGAAACTAACCGTTGTTATTACATTCAACAATGATAAACTAAATTCAACATTAGTCAACTTCACATTGCAATTTACTTCAATAAAAAATCTAACCATTACTGTTCATTTAACAATGAGAAACTAAACTTCACATTAGTCAACTCACCAGTCCTATTCAATTCAATAAAAATTTAACCATTACTGTTCATTTAACAATGAGAAACTAAACTTCACATTAGTCAACTCACCAGTCCTATTCAATTCAATAAAAACCTAACCATTACTGTTCTTTTAACAATGAGAAACTAAAATTCACATTAATCAACTCACCATTCATATTTTATTTAATAAGAAACTAACCGTTAATAATCATTTAACAACGAGAAAATGTTGTTATTAAATTCAATATTAACGAACTCACAGTCCCTTTTTAACTCAACAAAAACTAACCTTTATTATTACTTTCAACATACAGAAAATGGCGGTTCTTAATTTCTTCAACATTTAAGAATGTTCTGGTTTATTTCACTAACCTGAACATGCGCGCCACATAATCACTAACAAGAAATAATTATTAATCTTACAAATCAGAAACTCATGCTGTAATGACGAAGAAGCAAGAATTAAAACGATGTAATTTTTAATACTTTCAAATACTGAAGTTCTATATCTATATTACATCATTTATGAATCATTCTCTGAATTTGATAAACTGTTTCTGAAATCTTTAAACTACTATCGATTATCTGTGACCATATTCAGGTTCTACAGCTGGTCATCTGAAGCTACTGAAAGTAAAACACAAGACGTTGATACTCACGAGAAATTCTAGACTGAAACTAATGAAGTTAAAAAATCTACACCTTTATATACACGCGAGAATATAGTCTGAACTGTTGAAGTTAAAAACCTACATCTTGACATATACGCGAGAATATAGTCTGAAATATTGAAGTTAAAACCAACACTTTGGTATATACGCGAGAATCTAGTCTGAACTATTGAAGTTAAAACCAACACTTTGGTATATACGCGAGAATCTAGTCTGAAATATTGAAGTTAAAACCAACACTTTGGTATATACACGAGAATCTAGTCTGAACTATTGAAGTTAAAACCAACACCTTGACATATACACGAGAATATAGTCTGAAATATTGAAGTTAAAACCTATACCTTGATTTATACGCGAGAATCTAGTCTGAACTACTGAAGTTAAAACCTATACCTTGACATATACGCGAGAATATAGTCTGAAATATTGAAGTTAAAACCAACACCTTGATTTATACGCGAGAATCTAGTCTGAACTATTGAAGTTAAAACCTACACCTTGATATGTACGCGATAACCTAGTCTGAATTATTAAAGTTAAAACCTACACTTTGATATGTACGTGAGAATCTAGTCTGATACTACTGAGGTTAAAAAAATCAAAACGATAATAAACATGTGAAAGGCTTATGTGAAGCTATTGAGGTTAAAGACGATAATATACATTTGAGATTATTTTCTCAAATTATTGAAGTTAAAAGTTATGATAGTTATATGAATGTGAGAGTCTTGTCTGGAATTATTGAAGTTAAAAGTTATGATAGTTATATAAATGTGAGAGTCTTGTCTGGAATTATTGAAGTTAAAAAGATCGAGATGTTAATGATATAGAGCATTGAAAATAACTATGGAAACAGGGAAGAAAATACAGATATTATGGAATTGTTCCGCATATATTCTATGAAAACGAATTGCATAAGAGTACAGTGATTGTCTATTATCCAGTCTATCATATAATGACACACACCAGCATAATGTTAATAAAAGTACAGACACTCGTAGAATTTCTAACAATAGTGTGGTTAATACTCTCATGGACAGAAATCCTTGGTAGCAAACGTGTAGAGATCAAAGTATTCGCTTATTAAGACTACTCTATGAGACAGATTGAAACAAAATTCCAAGTTTTAGTAAGACCTTTATGGAAACTGAAGAGGGTACGTTAAACTAATACTATTGATAATAGAACTGGTTAAGGCAGGAGGTCTAATAGAACTGGTTAAGGCAGGAAGTCTAATAGAACTGGTTAAGGCAGGAAGTCTAATAGAATTGGCTAAAGCAGGAAGTCTAATAGAACTGTTTAAAGCAGGAAGTCTAATAGAATTGGTTAAGACAGGAAGTCTAATAGAACTGGTTAAGGCAGGAGGTCTAATAGAACTGGTTAAGGCAGGAGGTCTAATAGAACTGGTTCTTATCTGATACACGACAATCCAGTAAGGATCTTGTCAATGACCTAGCTGTAAGTATAGGTGTGAACATTACCTCCAGAACAGTAAGGTACACACTAGCACGTGGCATACTCAGTGTAAATGTCCAAAAAAACATTGCTTAGGACAGATAACTATACCAAAATACTGAAATAAGCATCAGTCTTCAAACAATGGAATGAGCAAACTGGAGGAGGGCACTCTTTCAATATGAATCCAATTTCAAATTGTTTGGCAAAAACAAACGATGGCAGAGAGGAGAACGATCTCATTGTCATCGAACATTGAGCATGCTGGGAAGCCAATACAAATATGAGCTGCATCTCAGCCAATGGTGTTGAACACCTACTAAAAATTTAGAGCACCTAGACTGTTGACAGGTGCGAAACAAAGTCTCGTCCATTACGTCATTCCATCGAGAACACGACCTGATAGGCAGAGGTCCATCTTCCAGCAAAATATAAGTTCCAGTAATACACCATATTTGATGAAAGTGTACTCTTGCATCTATGGTTTGGCCTGCACTAAATCCCGTTACGAATATTATCAAGGCTGTAGAGGTTTATATGGAAACTGATAGGATCAAACAGCAACCAAACATTTTGGTTGAATTGTGAGGAGTAACATGGACCAATATAGGTTCCAGTAATACACCATATTTGATGAAAGTGTACTCTTGCATCTATGGTTTGGCCTGCACTAAATCCCGTTACGAATATTATCAAGGCTGTAGAGGTTTATATGGAAACTGATAGGATCAAACAGCAACCAAACATTTTGGTTGAATTGTGAGGAGTAACATGGATCATTTGAAACAATATTATTCAAGAATTAAATTGATTGACTTATGGTAGCAAGAAAGTAAACTGCTCTGCTTAAATCAGATACAATGTACTAATCCACTGTACAATTTATTCGTTTCTCTTATATTTTTTGCAATAATGTATTGTATTGATGATATATTGATAAGTTAATTGGAGTTACACATTGTTTATGACTACTGTATGCGTATTACTTAAGTGTTTACATAATTATTTCTAATTCCGTATCATGTACTGGTGGGTGTCTTGAAAATTCTAAGTGTCTGATTTACGTCAAGTAATATAATTTAAATTTCATACTAAATAACTAATAATATAAATAAATATAAATATAAATAATAATATAAATGCCCTATTATTTTAATTGTGTTCTCTTTAAAGCCAGAGATTTAATTGTCCAATTCAGGCTCGCATTCTTCGAACATCTAAATGTTGTAATTTATAAATTATGAGTTGAAGCAGCTATTCTGGTTTTTTAGTTTCTCAGGGCGTGGTTTTTTGCTGACTAATGAGAAGGCGTTTTTATATGAGAATTCGCTTCATCAAAAGGTTAAGAAAACTATAGCTGAAAAAACTAAATATCTTCATTTTTTCCGGTTCTACTAATTAAAATTGTATGTTTTTTTCTAGCTACAATTCCTAAATGTGCTGGGTGTAATCAGCCAATAGTGGATCGTTTCATCCTCAAGGTGCTCGATAGGCCGTGGCATGCTAAATGCCTCAAGTGCACCGAATGCCAGGCCCAGCTCAACGATAAGTGCTTCTCGAGAAATGGAGAGGTTTTCTGTAAAGAGGATTTTTTTAAGTAAGTAGACACGTTAGGAGTGAAGTCTGTGTCTTTTCCTCGTCGTATAAAAATGGAATCTTCATTTTCAAAATTCAGATTTAATAACAAGTCAGTTGTCTAATCATAACAAAGTTATGGAAGTTCTTCGTGAACGAGTTCACTGTAGTCAATATTTAATAAAATAAATTGAGAAAAACTTGTTTTTTTACCCAAATGTCTCAATAGAGAAGGTATCTGTTAGGCTTAGAGTGTTAAAAGGTTTAAATTGAACGAGGGAAGAGGCGTTAGTTGTCCTATGGGTAGAGCCTTAGATTGCGGAGCTAGTGAGTCGGGTTCGAATATGTGAGATACCACAATATATCTCTTCCCTTTAAGCTGTGGGTGCATTGAAATAATTACGGTCAATTCCTTATCATGTATGGTGGGTAGTAGGGTGCTGCTGACAGACTGTCGTCCCTCTGGTCAGTAGTTCGAAATTAGTGACGGCGGTATAATGCCGTTGTAAGCTTGCCATAAATACAAAATACAAATTGAACGAGGGACATAGATACATATATTATACTAGATGTACTGCCGCAGGGAGTCCGAAAGTGTTAGGTTTCAAGAGTAAATACAACCACAATTTAGAGTAACAAATATTTTTAATTCTTGCTTTTGAAGTTCATACGTGATCATGTGTTGTAGCCTACAGAGTGCATAATTCTTCTCGAGATTCATGGCATACGCACGCTTTACTGACGTCACGACGACAGTACAAATTGCAACTTTAAGCGTCCCTTATGTGACGTCATTTCATTGTCTACTGACTGACTGGCAGACAACACACTACTGTATAGTGGTGCGAGTGGTTAAAATAGGTGAACCCTCCAGGTGGCCTTCGACCCCCTTTCGGGGAAATAAACTTCGGTGTTTCATCCGAGGTTTTTCGCCACCAGTTGAGTGCTCTGCTTTATTTAAATTATTTTACACCTCTTACTTAAATAACTCCCTCAATTTTTCGCAATAAGCCATATTATTTACATCAATTCACTGCATATTACCAGGTTTATAATTTTCTTCGAAATATTTTGCAGTTGTTTACGTTATACTTAAATAGAACTTATGATAGCATATAATTATGAGTACAATGTATGTGTTTTTCGTGTCTGCTGACAAAAAAAAAATGCTCATTTTTAAGTGACGGTTATGCAGTTGCGAACATTTTGCTTTAACAGAAATTATGAAGCTATGTAATTATTTTGCCGCAGACTACATTCTTGTTATAACCAGTGAATTTACTAAATCCTGTGCAAACACTTCCCATAAGAAACGTGTTAAACGAAGAAATCTTTCGCTTATTTTAACAATAGTTCTACTGTCATCCACGTATCTGTTGACATTACCTTTAGATGTTTTAACGTTGTTACTTTTAAAACCGTTGCTAATATTTTTCTCTTGTGTCACTCTATGTAATCATTACTGCGTAATTTCATATGTGAAATTTTGGGAACACATTTGAATAAAATAATAACTACTTGATCTGTTCTTTCCAAGCAAGAGATTTTTAAGCAACAACGTACACTTATTTTAGAGAAAAAACAAACTTAATTTTGTTTGTTCTCCTATAAATCTGAAATACACACATAAAGATCGTAGCGCCCTCTCTTACCAACTCTAGGGACTGACTAATATTATGTTCACATAAAAAAATCCTATCAGCGATTTTTTACTCAACCATTCATAAAATATATTTTGTGAAACCAATCTTAGTTGCTTGAAAATCTTAGTTTAAAATCAGTTCCTCTTGAAACAAGTTATTATTCCATTCCATCCCTAAAAACCGTCTAAATTATTTCTAAATTGGCTGGGAACATTTTTTTACTGACCAATCAAATAAAGTTCTAATTCTAGCTGGGTTTATTTTAGGAGATTTGGAACTAAATGTGCCGGATGCGAGCAAGGCATTCCTCCAACTCAAGTTGTAAGAAGAGCCCAGGACAATGTCTATCACCTCTATTGCTTCTCGTGTATCCTCTGCAAGCGCCAGCTGAACACCGGCGACGAGTTCTACTTGATGGAAGACAACAAGCTTGTGTGCAAGATCGACTACGAAACTGCAAAGGCACGCGGTAACGTGTTCTTTTAATTATCACTCTAGCAACGTTTTGTATTTTGTTTTCCCTGTTCATGTTTTATACGAACTTCCCTTCAATTTTAGGCCTACTTCATCTCTTTCAGAGAGAGAGTTCAGAAAGTGACTTCATACTTGTAAAATGAGTTATGAAATATGTTTTTAATTGTATTTATTTGTATTTTAACAAAGTCTATTTTTTTTAGTTGTTAAACGCAAACTACACAATGGGCTATCTGTTCTGTGCCAATTGCGGGTATAAAAACCCAATTTTTATCATTAAAAGCTCTCAGGCTTACAGCTGAGCCACCAGGTGACATGTTCATAAGAGTTTCTATAGAGTTCTGTGTCGGATCTTCCTGTTTAATACTGCCTCATTGCCGTTTCTATATGTGTCACTATTCAAAATGGCGTAAATTTTTGTCTCTTCCAATGTATCATCTTAGGTTTACCGACCTATTTATAGTGATGATTCTTTGTTTGTAATAAAAACACAAAACTACACAATGGGGCTATCTGTGCTATTCCCACCACGAATATCGAAACCCGATTTTTAGCGTTATAAGCCTCATCATTGTGTCGCTGGGGGAGGGCTTTTGTGATGAAAACCATGAAACTTCCAATTACAAACCTGTTTCACGCTATCCCAGTCTACAGTGCTTTTGTTTGTGGCACTGGCGGAGCAAGATGAAGTTTTGTACTGTCTAATTTAGTTGAAATATGGAGGTCTTGGAATTAGTTTGGGAACCGTTTGTGTTTCATTAACATTTACATTACACTGGAAAAGTTGTCCGAAGGATAAGGAGATTTTTCATTTAACTTCTAAAACATTCCATAAAAACTTGTTTTGGAAGTCATATTATATGAGTTATCGTATAAAATGTAGTATTTTATCATCTAAGTGTGGTCCAATTTACAGT